ATACACAAAGTATATCAAAAATTAAAAGATGCATAAAGTGCATCATTCAATGAACAAGAGGCATAAAATGAGCCAATCTAAAAGCAAGCTATCTTCCTTTCTTCCAACTCTTAAAACTTAGAAGATTTCATGTATCACTTAAAATTTTCAAGGACTTGATTTCAAATTTCTCGATTTTACAAATACTTGATATAAAATTTCTATAAGATATTTTTCTGAAACCAAGTCTTGATCGGATCTCTTTTTCTTATCCAAATGATTTTTTTTTTAGTTAGGCCTTTTGATTTCAAAAGATGATTTTACCCTAAAAGAAGTCCAAGCTTAGGGTTAACATGATCGTATTATTTTTACCATTGTTTTGGATTTTTGATGTTGTTAACTCATTAACTTACAAATTTTTAAGATCAATCACATGGAAGACTATATCATGTTCATGCCTTGATTTAAAAAAAAAAAAAACTTTATTTCTTTGCTAGTTTTTCTGTAGTTTGTTATTTTAGTTTATGTTCTATTTTTGTTTTTTTTTTGGGTTTTCTCCCTCCTTTTTGTGATGTCAAAAGGGGGAGTAGTCTGTTGTACCATGTACTTAATTCTAGAATTTAGTAAATTTTTTTTTCATTACACTGCTTCCATTTGATTCTAAAATTTAGTAAACTGCTTTTTCATTACACTGCTTTCATTAAACTGTCAAAATTGCTTAAACTTTTCTGATTATGTTTGCCATCATCAAAAAGAGGGAGATTGTTGCAAATCTGAGATTATGGATTAGACTTTTGATGATAACAAACATTCATATTTTTCTACGACTACCTTGCCTACTAACTCTTCAGGTCCATAAGATCGAGCGCAACTCAAGACAAGCTCAAGATTGGGTAGAATTAGTTTGAGTTAGTCTGTAATGTTTTCCATTTCTTAAGTCAATTATAAAAGTGGTTCCAGATGCTAAGTAACCTTGTACACACACACTTGAGGAATTTTCTATGTTTTTCTATTTTGAGTACTTTGGCCTGGACAATATTTATATCGACCAGGACGATCCGACTAAAAATAGAAACCCTAATTAGGGTATCTTAGTTAAGGAAGTCGTCATTAAGCACATCATCCTGAATGATCCTTGTATCGGCCAGGATGATAAGCTCAAATAAAAAAGAATCATTCACCAGATCTATTTAAGTAAAATTTATTTTTGGACATCAGCCAGGACAATCCATTACATTGTCTTGGACGATACAGCATAATTATGCCTAAATTAATATGGCAATTATGGAAAGTAATTAAGGCTAATTGATACGTTTACATCGTCCATGTCGATTGCAGGATTGGTCGGTTTGATTTCCTGGACGATTGACATTGGCCAGACTCTATTCAGGGTGATGTTCAGGATGATTATACTCAGATTTGAACTAATCGGCCAGGACGATTTTGTATCACCCTAGATGATATAACCAATTTTCTTCTAATCGTCCCAAATCGTCCCGGCTGATTGATCTTATTTGTATTGATCATACAGGACAATAGAAATATCATCCTGGACGATATTGTCGGTTCTTGAAATTTTATTTAAAGGACCCAAATTTTCTCATGCAAAAAGACCTTTTGCTGCTGTCTTGGCCTGAGAGAGCCAAGATGAGAAAGAGAGAGAGAGAGAGAGAGAGAGAGAGAGAGAGAGGGAGGGAGGAACTTGTGAGGGGGAGTTTGTGAGAGGGATTCACAAAGGTTACTCCAAGCAAGGTTCCAAGGCATCTTCTCCAGTCTTCATCCTTCATCCTTGGGAGTTCAAGGGAGGTAAGCTTCAGAAATTGGTCGAGGTTTTCTGCCTGCTTCAGGTGGAAGCAAAAGGAGTTGGGTTCTCTGCCTGCTTCATGAGGAAGCAAAAGGAGTTAGGTTTTTTGCCTCGCCGGGTTAGTGGAAAGGAGTTTTTGTGAGGGCTTCTCTGCCTTGCTGTGGGAGCAAAATTAAAGGAGACTCACTTTTGTAGTGCAATACTTAGAGGGCGCCTCCTCGGAGTGGACGTAGGTTGAGTTGACCGAACCACTATAAATTCTCTGTGTTCTTTTCTTACTACGTTTCCGCATTTAATTTCCGCATTGTATTTTTTTTTTGTGGTGATATTGGTTTTAAGTTTTGTGCTTTGGTTTAAGAAAGATTTTTTAGAATACCAATTCACCCCCCTCTTGGTTAGCCTCAAGATAGTTCTTAAGGGCTTAACATCCTAACGAACTTTCAATATAAAGGTGCAACATTCATAAGAGACATCATAATTTTTGCATAAAATTTTTTGAAAATGGGAAAATTCAAGGGTCCATGCCAAATTTAAAAGAATCCAATAGTGTTTATAGTTGATTACAAATGAGGCTCTTCCTCGAGGGAAGGCCTTGGCTCGATATACCAAATATACATCATAATGAACACATTACAATATTGGAGTTGGAAGAATCCAATGAAATGAGAGTTATTTTCAATAGAATGTTGTCTTATTCATTTGGTCAGTAGAACTGTGGTCGGTGCACGATGGTGGTTGAGGGCTTATAATCGACTAGCGATGGTGGTCGAATGGATTATAGTCTACGGGTGATGATGGCTAGAAGGATGGTGGTCAGAGGGACCATCATCAATGGGGTGATAGTGGTTAGAGTGACCATAGTCAATAAGCGATAGTGGTCAAAGAGATTATAAAAGATGGGCAATGGTGGTTAGAGGGTTTGTACTCAGTGAGGAACAAAGTTCAAAGGGACTGTAGCTGATGGGTGATGGAGGTTGAAGGGGCCAAAGTCTACTAGCGAAGGTGGTTGAAGAGATCATACACAACAAGTGATGGATGTTTGAGTGACCATAGTCGGCGAACAAAGGAGGTCATAGTGATGGGCGATGATGGTCGAAGAGACTGTAGTTAGCTGGCGATGGTGCAAGAGGGACTTTGGTCGGCCAGCAATGGTGTTCAAATGGACCTTCATAGAGGGGGTGAATATGGTTAGAGTGGTAGTATTCAGTGGGCGATGGTAGTCAAATATAATGTAAAGTATGGGTGATGGTGGTCGGTGGGGTTGTTCTCGGTGTGGGAAGAATGTTTGAGGGACCGTAGATGATCGGTGATGGAGGTTATAGGGACCATGGTCAATGGATGAAGATGGTATGAGGGACCATAGCCGATGGGCAAAGGAGGTCGCAGTGAGAGCAAATGATAGGCAAGTTGGTTGAGGGGTCGTAGTCGATGGGTGATGGGAGTTGGAGAAACCATAGTTGGTGAGCGATAAAGGTTATAGGAACCATAGTTAGTAGGAGATGGTGGTTGCATAGACCTTAGTAGGAGGGAAACGGTGGTCAGTGGAACCATAGTTGACATGTGATAGTGGTGGGTGGGACCATAGTTGGCAGGCGATAGACATTGGATGGATCGTAGTCAACCAGCGATTGTGGTTGGAGGGTTTGTTGTCTATGGGGTATGGTGATCGGTGGGACCATAGTCGGTGGGCCATAGTAGTCGGTGGGACTACAGTCGGCAGGTGATGGTGGTCAAAAGTGACCATAGTGGTAGGCAATGGTGGCCAGAGTGGTGAGTCAAAGGCAGTCGATGGAGGTCCAACCACGATAGGTGGCTGGGCGGAGGTTCGGTTGTTGTCAATGGACAAGCGTTGGCCCTACGGTGGTCGACTAAAGTTTACTAGTAGTGGTGCTTGGGTAAAGCTCTAGGATCCATAAAGCCGCAAAGGTCTTTCCAATCTCTAACCAAAAAAGTCTCCCTCATGAAGAGAGTGGTGGTCTATTTATAGATTTTGATAGTGGCATGCTCTATAAATATGGAGAAGATTCCGGGCAGGTTGAGAGTGCTCCATTGAACGGGCCATAGTGATTCCCTTGATAGTAGAGTATTCGTTCAACATTTAAGTGCCTTAATGATGTTGGGAGTTGAGAGATCTTGGGCTCATTGGCTTCATCTCATTGATTATAATCATGTCATATTTGGTGATCATTCAATTAATGTTTTGAATCTTCCAAATATATTTTTTGTCCCTTGTTTTAAACTAATTTCGGCTCGGATTAGACTGATTTTGGTCACTCGGTTCATCTCATTGAGATGTTCAATTTGGTTATATATTTGTTAAAATTTGAGTTTGGATGGTCTCAAATTTATTTTGCAAGTTGTGAGCTTAAGTATTCCTCAAGATTCATACTCGATCAAGACAATTTTTGTTAATGTATCAATATTATCTAAATTTTCATGCTTATCATGATAAATCCTTCACCTATACACATGTGAGGATATGCACCTAATCGCACTAAGAGCATTTCATAATTACCATAATCTCTTTTTCTTAATCTTGTTAAAGCAAATATAAAAATAAAAATAAAAAAAAAAACACACCCACACACACAAAATTGGTTTTCTTATTTGGATTAAAAAACTGATTTATTTAAGTAAATAAATTTAAAATAATAAGATTAAGCTATAAACTTAATTTATAAAATGAGCTCCCCCCAGCAATTTACTAACCTAAAAAACCAGAAGTCTAAGATCTGCACATGATAAAACTCTTTTGGAGATGCTACAAAGTTCTAATTTATGACCAATTACATGTTAAACGTCATTTCAATAATAAATGATATTAATATAGAGAGTTATGTAAATTGTCCTTCTTCAAATCCCCGCTCACTTGATTAGAAAAATTATTAGTTGCAGACACTGGATGTAGAGATAGCTCCGGACATTCACTTAAAATTTGACACGTGGAGTACATTTTGATTGCACTTTTTGTTCAGTTTACCTGTGCTTTAGTTGCACTTTGACTATTTTTAATTGCGCTTTACATGTGCTTTTGTTGCACTTCAATTGCGCTTTGATTGTTCTTTTGTTACACTTTTTTTTACTGCGCTTTGAATGCGTTTTACTTGCACTTTATTTGCGCTTTGATTACACATTTGTTGTGCTTAGCTTAAAATTCCACAAACATATTAAATAAATAAAATAAAAATTAAATCTAATTGAATATCCAGCTGTCCACTCCCACAATTTATTGGATTTTCCCACTTGAATAGTTGCTCCGAACTTCCAGCTCAAACAAACCCCCATTCTATTCTCGATGGAATCGATTGAGAAGCAAACTAAACAACCGATTTTTATTGGTTCTAAGATCCTTTGGGTTCTGAAATTCTTCGTAATTATTTAATTTCTTTGTTCTTTGGTTAGATTTTCTATTCTTCTTCGATTGCTAGACGAAGTTGTTGCGGGAGGTGAGCTGCTGGTAAGAAAAAAATGGAACTTTTGTTCTTTTTAGCTTCTTTTTTAGGATAGAGATATCCGTATTAGCTGAATTTTTTTCACTGGTTTTGTGCAGAAGACGATGGTGGAGAGTGCATAGAAGGTAAATTTGGTAATTTTAGGGTTGTTTTATATGCTTATTACTATCTTGTCGTTTGATTGTGGATACTGTTCAGGATTTATTGAATCAGAACATGTGAGCTCTATCTTGTGAGTTTTATTAAGATATTTATTCAACACTTGTTATTTCTAGCTGCATTAAGTTCTTCAGCTTGTTTGTTCTTTGTAGCTCAAGTATTTGGCGATTTGTCTCTGAGAAAAGTGGAATGGATAACCCTTTGTTTACCTTTATATTTTTGCGAACTTTTGTTCACTAATGGACGATCAGTTTATTGCAAGGTTAAAAAAGCTTGGTTAAGGACTCTATCACAGAACTTTTGGGGCCGTTTGGTATCCCTTTTTAGGCAGGATTATAGCGAGATTTAAATTATGTCAAACAGAATTTTTGGAATTTTATAGTCTACTTTTTTGATAAATCCTATTTCAGTTCCGGTGTTGTTTGAATCATTTTATAGATTTGTTAAACTCCTCTATTTACATCATTTTATAGATTTAAGGATTTCTCTTCTCACAAATAAATAAATTGCCAAATAATTTATTAGGATTTAACAAGATTTAGCAATTGATATGCCCAATAATATTTAGGTTTTAATCCTCTTCATATTTAGAATTTTCAATTTTTTTAGGATTTACTAGATCACACTTGTAACCAAATATCCCCTTAGTTTCCTATTTTTTGAATTTATATTAGGGTTTGGTTTTGGTTACTTTTTATCTTTCAATATTTCAAAATATGTGCTAAAGGTATAAAAATAGAATTATCTAATTGTTGCCTATTGATTTCGTGGGTATAAACTATAAAATATTACTAGAACTTTGTTGACTATTCAAAATTTTCATCAATATTTCATTTAAAATTTATGAGCTTTAGGGGACAAATTTGATTTGCCCGGGGTTAAATCAGATGAGGTAATAAATATTAAAGTTATTTAAATTAAATAATAATGGCATAATAATCATGCAATAATTTAAATTTGTAACTAAAATAAAAAAACTAATTATAAATAAATAATAGTTTCTATAGTTTTAAATTTAAACACATTTAATTTATAATTTGATTCATATTTAATATAAATTTAATTCAAATAGAAATTTATCAATTTAATATAGATTATTATTAATTTATGTTATATGTACATTTAAATATATTTTAGATCTATATGTTATATATCAAATTTATTTTATAAATTTATATCTAAAAATTATTTATGTAATATTATTTTCATTATGAAATAGATAAACTTATTTTGTTAGTGGTATAAATTAATTATTAATAACTAAAAAAAACTATCATTCATATTATAAATAATTAATTAAAAAGATCGATTTAGAAATGAATTTTTATGGACACTTATAATATGTTGCGACTTGTAAGTTTCATAAACCTCAACTCATCTCTTAGGTCCCAGTATCACATGGAAGCTCTTTCTTGCTATTGTTTTATATTTTGAGTTTTCGTGTAATGCACCTGACACTTCTCAAAGAGGCGTAAAGTGTCTGACACTTATTTGACACGACACTTGTCCGACACGCCTCTGACATGTGTAGACATACTGAAAACGTGTCTGATTAATAAAATATTAAAATAATTATGACATGCTTGTCTTAAATATTTTTTTAAATTTTCTTAAAAAATATAATTTATTTTGTATTTAAAAATTTTATTTATTTAAAATATAAACTAAATTTCTTATTTCATATCCACAAGACCAAATCAATAGTCAGCACTAAGTATCTCATTCATCGAATATTTTCATTTTTTCGTTTCTCTTTGGTACAAACATTGGGCGGCCCCCCATTGACTTGAGGGGGTCAAATGCCCCCCCTCAAAATTTTTTTTTTTATTTTTAGAGGGATTATTTGGAATATTTGGATATTTTTGCGGTATTGTGCCCCCTCTTCAAAAAATTTTTTTTGCCTCATTTTCATAAATCTTAAGCTCTTTGCCATCCCCACCAAAAAAAAAATATTTTTGCCCACCTGAAAAAAAGAAGCTGGATCCGCCACTGCTTTGGTGGTCATGACTTTGGTTTAAGAACAATTTATGATGTCATCTCAACATCTATGTTTGACGTCGTTATAACATCGACATTTTCAAAACCCATATCAAATATCAAAGTCTGCATTGTCTTGATATTGATGGCTGGAGTCTAGTCATCTTAACACCCACAACTTGATAGTTAATCTTTGTCTATGTCTCTTAACATCGAGGATCAGTACCCTCTCAACATTGACGACAGACGCCCTCTTGGCATCGACACTGATACTGCATATTATTGATGCCTGACTCCCAACAACATTTCTATCTCGCTCTTTCGATGTTTGATACATAACATCAATGCCAACTGTCGACATCCTAATATCAATATCTTAAATCACAAATTTTAGTTAAATGATTTATTATTCTAAATTAATTTCATAGTATACTTTATCAATTTTTATGCTATAATTTTTAAAAATATAAAAATCATAATACCGTGTCTAACTTGATGTTTGTGTCACATATTTTCAATAATTGATGTATCACATGTTCATCATGTCGTGTCGTATTCGTGATGTTATGTCTATGTCTATGCATCATAGCCTGTGTTAAAAACTCACATGTGAAGATGTTTCATGGTGTATTGGGCACATATATATATATAATAAATTTTTCATTGCTAATTAAAAAATATTTAATATAATAAATTTATTTATTTAAATAATTTGGTAATTGAACCAGCCGGTTCAAAGGACCTGGGACCAGTTCGTTGGTTGACCAGATGAACCGACGGTTCGGTCCGGTTTGATTTAGAAGTGATTTTTGGAGTGGAGTGGATCGGACCGGCCTTATGACCGGTTCACGGTTGAATCAATCTAACTGGCCAGTCTAGTCCGATTTTGAAAACCTTAGTATTTATAACTACTTATTTTAGTTTATATAATTTTATTTAAATTTTTGTCCTTAGGATTTATTAAAAAAATTAACACATCTTGGCACTTGCTTGCATACTTAGCAACAATCGCATATTAACAGGGACTTTCCTAGTTAAATTTTTATTTTAATGTCCATTTATAATATTTAAATTTTTTTATCTACCTATTTTTTAATATTTGTCCAGCTTCGAACTAAAAATCCGAGTTTTATTTGAAACTTTAGAGTTTTAATCCTCAAAATTAAACATCCGAAACCACTGAAACTGACCTGAGTAGACTTTGATTTATAGTTCTCTATCTTTCCATGTAGTGATCAAGTCTAAGAGTTGCTATGATGCTGAAGAAGAGAACAATAACAGTAAGGAAGGTTTAATGTTTGATCATATGTTCACTTTATGCTCCCATTTATAAGTAGAACAGCAGTTCTTTCTCTTATTCCATCCCTGAGTTCTTTGTGGGTTTCTTTGCACTGAGACTTCTGCAATGAGCCAACCTCCATTCTAGAAGCAATAATCTTTCTCTGCAACAGTGCACCATTTCATCTCTAATATGAAAGCAAAGAGCTCATTCAGGCAATTTTTTCAGAAAAAAAACCATCATCCATGGATGTTTAGTGAATAAAAAACTGTTGGGCTTGGAATTTTTGATGCTCTCAGAAATGAGAAAACTGATAAGAAATCTTCAAATTTGGAGGGTAGAATGTTGTTGTTTGGATCGCAGCTCAAGGGGTCAGTTACCTTCTACCAGCCAAAATGACTTTTTTTGAGTCCCCTCACCTGTAATTGAGTTTGGTGTCAAAAACAAGAATTCTCAAATAGCTAATGGCACCATTACTATCTCCTTCAAGATGCTTCGGCAGTTCTCGGGGTGTGTTCTATGCCAGAGTCGCGGTCCGCCGCCACCAATCTTATGTTTAATCTACAAGCGAGATGGAACAATCTGAGGATTATACTCGCGTGATTTCTCATGGACCAAACCCTAGGATTACTCACATTTTTTATACTTGCATCATGGAGAACTCTGGCAATGGTTACAATTCTCTGAGGAAGGAGATCAGGTTCTCCACAGATGGGGAAAGTAGTTATCCTTCTGATGATTTCTTGGCTTTTTGCAATGCTTGCAGAAAGAAACTTGGGCAAGGAAAGGATGTCTTCATGTACAGGTTTGCCTCTTTCTTGTTTTTTCAAGAAAGCTTGAAATTTTAATAGATCAGACTCTTTGCTTTTGATTTCTGATTTGCGCTACATAGTTTTACAACTCTAGTTTTATTGGCAACCATTGCCTCCAAGCGCTAATTTGTTTCCGTTTAATTGCTTGGAACTGATTGAAACTGAGTTCTAGAATTCAGTTTCATTGCTTGTTTAGCGGAAAGTGAAAATTTTGAGTTCTTACATTTGAATCTTAAATTCTCTAAGGTAGTAAGTGAGTTTCAATTATGAAAACTTTAGTCATCTTTATTTATTTATTTTTATTTTGAAAGTAGTAATTCAGTAATATAATGTTAAAAGAGTAAAGCCACTCATCCTCCTAAGCATTCTCATCTCTACAAGACTTAACTTATTTTTTTATGCTTCTTTTTTAATGGCCAACATTCTGCACCATAAAGCATTGCATATCTCACCACCATCTTATTGAATTTTCCCTAAAGTTGGAGGGGTACTTTTCTATCACGCAACATGCCTGATGCATTCCTTCACTTCAACCATCCAACTTGAATTCTACTAATAATATCTCCATCTATTTCACCATCACTTTGAACAATAGTCCTGATATCTAAAACATGTATCCTTTGTAATGACCTAATCATCCAAAGTCATAATGCCCCACTAGATCTATTACTATGTTAGGCCGATCCAACATGGACCAATCCAATGCTATAGGAGGCAGACCAAGCAGTCCACCCCATTGGATTTGCCACCCAATGAAGGTGGGGCCCACTAGCCAAATAAAATAGGAAAGAGGGGTGGGCAGCTAGGGCTAAGGAGGGGTTCAATTGCTTTAATTAGGGAAGGAGGATTAGGTTTAGGGTTATGCAAATTATTTGGGGCTGCTCTTGTTCTTGGAGTT